CTTCTTCTTCTTCTTCTTCTTCTTCTTCTTCTTCTTCTTCTTCTTCTTCTTCATCATCTAATTAGAATGACTGGGGCAAAAGAAAGCAAAGATAGGACCAATAGGAATAGGCGCCTTGGGTGCCATCCGAAAACATCTGGAGCATCCCTTGAAGACCATCAGCATTGACAAAAATCACCATCAGTCCAGTGCAAAAGGCAGCCTTACTTGGAACAGATTATATCCTACAACAATACCTTTAACACCATCAACAGCAACATCTGCCTAGCCCGGTCCTTGGGAAGGACTCGGTAGGTGGACAAAAATGCCAAATCCAGTCTAAACATCTGGCTGACTGTGCGACCAACCATAATACTGTAGAGCAGTGTGTCTCTGTTGCTTATAAAACTCAGGCACCCCAAGTGGTGTGGAGCTGAATAAGTATTCCCTGAATTTGGGAGAGAAAACCATCTTACCTTTGCAAAGGTGGCTTCTTAGCCTACCCGAAAATATGAACCACCCAGTAATTCAGGCAAAGCAAAAAGTGTTTATTAAGGGGAGGGGTCAAGTCTTTTTATAGGGTACAGAAACAAAGGATACATACATTTGGTATATGTGATAACGTCAAAACAAGTAAACGTTAAAAGACTAATGACACGTGAGAATTGAACAATAGAAAACACTGATTCCAGATAACATTCCACAAGTGGCAAATGTATGGGTTATGTCACTCCCTTTCCCAGCCGGGTTTGTATCTTTAAAGCTTGCAAGTGTATTCAAGGACAAGGGCTGTCTATTGTTTAGTTACTGAAAGGGCAAGTTCTCAAATATACCAAAAGAAATGGCCTTGGCCCGGAAGAAAAACATGCTTTTCTAAACTAGACTGCCATGTTAAAAAAATGCTAATATCACCTTTTTAAAACGTTAATAATGAAGCCTAGAATTCCAGGTAACATCTCAAGCTTGGCAACTTGAAGTCCACCCATCTTAAAGGCTCCGAGACTCAGAAATGCTGCTTTGGAACACCTGAGAACGCAGAGCAAAAGAGGAGGAAATCCAACATGTCCGTCTCCTGCCCTGGGCCTGCTCAGGCCCCTGATGAACCCAGAGGCACCAAAAAAACAAAAAAAATCCCCACAATTGGGTTGGCATTTGGCATCAGGAAGCAACCTGGGCCCTCAGCAAGATTGCTTCCATCATAGTTTTCTGAGGAGCTCTGGGAGATGAAACAACAGGAGCCGAGGAAGACAAGAAGCGAATCTGACCAAACTTGGGAACGAGCTTGGGGTCAAGCCTGCGTGGTGGCGACAGATCATGGCTTCTGCTCCATTGCTCCCTCAGCAAGCTGCCAGCCAAGCCACCTTGCTGGGGGGTGACAAGTGCCCTTTTACAGAGGTAAGACTAGGGAGATCCTCTACCTGGCCGCTGTAATGGTGATGCGCAGCAATTTATTTATTCAATTTATATAGCCGCCCATCTCACATACATGATTCTGGGCTGTTCACAAAGTTAAAACACACACAAAAAAACAACAAAAATCTTACAGCAAAAACCATTAAAATTAAAACACATTAAAAACAATAAAAACGACTAAAAACATAATCTGAGAGAGTGCAATCCAATTTACTAACAATATAGCAGGTCCCCAGGTAAGATTGCAAAGCCAGGTCTTCAGGCCCAACTGATGCTCCAATTTGCTGATAAAATTGTTCAGATTCACCAAGGTCCTGACTCCATGTGGGCAGAGTTCATGGTGGTAATTGGGGCAGCATTTTTCACAAATTTTATTGAAAGGCATAACCTTTATCGTTAAAAGCTGAGACCTGTTTTGTTAGTCAGGAAAAGTGCTACCAGACTCCTGATTTTACGGAACAGAGTCATTCTTATCAGAGTGAGGAAAATACATTTTTGGGTGAAAAAAGTAAATTTCCAGAGGCTTCAAATGAATGGGAGTGCCTTAATAAAATTGAAACATAAAAGAATGTGCAGCACCCTTGAAGCTGGTGGGAACTAGGCTGGTTGTAAAGACTTTATCACAAACATCCCCATAGCCACCAAGGCTTGAAGGAGGATGTGTTCTCCCTGGCATTTGGCACCTTGAACTGATCTGTTTCTTCTCAGTAAACTTTCCTTGTAGGTAGTAGGTAACAGAGGGGCAGAAAGTAATTTGAGATCTATTACTTAGGTACGTATGCCTGCATCATCATATGAGCATGTATGCACACATCCTTTTCCTTTCCCCTTTTCTGAGATGTATAAATATCGGAGCATCTCTTTTGTCTGCAGGGGTGTCCCCTCCCATATGTACTGTTTAATAAACACTGCAGTGGAGCCTTGATTATTTTGCTTTTGGGTTGTGTTTGATTCCATATCAGTCAAGCAAAGAGCTGCATGAAAGTCTCCTGCTTGGTCTGGAGTCACTGCTAATCAAAGAAAAATCGCCTTGTGGGGCTGCTTTTCAAGACCATTTGGAAACTGCAAATGGTCCAGAATGCTGGGCTGTGCAGGTACTGGACACTGTGACCACCTGACCCTAATTCTCCAAGCCCTCCACTGTTGCAGTAGGTATCAGGTATAATTCAAAGTGCTGGTTTTAACCTATAAGCTCTACATGATTTGACACATGGGTATTTTTGTGACTGCTTCATCCAACTGGATTTGATTTCTCCAAGTCCTCCCTCCCAAAAGAAATTTTCAGCAGTGCCCCATTTCTGGGAAATGGAGGCAGAGTGGGGGGCGGGGGAGGCTGATATATTGTTTCTTCACAATGGTCCTAGACCTCCCATAAAGGTGAAATTGGTTCCATTGTTAATAGCCTTCCTGAAAAATTCCTCATTCCTGAGGGCTTTGTGACATCATGAACATTGTTATGTGGTTTTAATTTTGCTTTAATTTGAATTTGAATTTACTATGAACATTTTATCACTGGTTTTTATAACTGTAGTGAACCAGCCAGAGTTGCAAAATGTGGCAGGACATAAAATAAACAAGCAGTATTGTTACAGGCACTCCCAGTTCGGCTTATGGTCACTTACTCACACACTCACAGCCTGTTGAGGCACCCAGATCTTGTCAGCCCCCCTTGCTTTCTACCTGGGTTTTCCAGAGAGGTGCGGCTAGAGTGGACAAGACACACAGCCCTGGTCAACAGCCAGGAAGTAATTAGGGACACACACAAATCACTTCCAACCGAACACTGAGGCACAACAGGTTCTTTGGAATACACGGAGACCCAGTGAATTTAAAGTAACTGCAAAACTCTACTGGCTGCAAGGTACATTTGCTCTTTCTCACACGCGCACGCACGCTCATCCGTACTTACCCATGTCCTTCCCAACTAGGCTGCAAAACACTAGCTAGAGGGACAGAAGCCGCCAAGTGTCTGCTTCATCTTTAGTTATGGCAGCTTCAGCCTAGTCTCACAGTATCCTGTCCCAGTTTTTGCAGCAATCATCCTTATGTGCATTTTCCTCATCCACAGCCTGCTTTCTTGCATGATTCCACCCAAGCATCCCTTTTTCATCTTTCCAATTGGCCCAGTTCCATATACTTCTCAATTATTTTCACTCTGTTCCAAGCAGTTTCCGCATACAGGTGGGTCACAATTAGCGCTAGTTCAAATGGTGCAAAATTCAATTTAGTGTGATTTATAAATTGATACAGTACTAGGTCAGTTTGAGTCAAAATTCAGTTAGTGCGAGGCTAGCGCACAGGCGGTTGAGGCTAGGGCATGCACAGTTGAGGCTACTGCCCATGCAGTTGCCATTGGGGTTTTAGACACTAACCATCCTGTATGCAAAATGGAGAAAAGGAAGGCTCCATTCAAGGAAAGCTCAAAAAAGAAAAGGCCCATTTTGAAGAACTACAGCAGAAAACAGGAGATAGCAGATACACTTTGGATGTGGGTTTATCCTTTTACTGTTATACAGTATTTCATTAATAAACATATAAAATGTATGCTTAAAAATTTTAATTGGCTATTTCCATCAAGCTGGAACCAATTACCCTATTTTCCATAGAAATATCACTTTGAATAGTGCGAATTTGAATAATGTGACCATTTCATGGGCTTCATTAAGCGCGCTAATTGAGACCTACCTATCTGTAATTTTTTTTCCTTAGGTCGGCTTTCCATTCATTCTATCGGGAGATGCATGGATAATACATGTACATGAAACATCCTGTCAAAAAACCAACTTAGTAGACTACCAATTCTACATGACCAGAATATATACAATATTATGATTCAAATCATTTATTGTCAATACATTTATTACAACACACATGACACAGAGAAGAGTGCCAGAGAAGGGTGGCACACATACAGCTCAGGTTCCTTCCCAATTCCCAGAGGGGTCAGAAAGTCACCTCTAGTCTTCTCTCCATTCCTTTGGAGTCAGTCGACCAACTGGAGAGAAATTCCATGTAAGCGGAAGCTGAATGCAAGCCTGAAAGAGGGATCAGAAGTTAACCATAATCACAACAGCAACTGTGTTCACACCACATATTCACCCACGGCTGATGACTCCGCCCGAGTGCTTTTGCTGACACCAACCAACCCTGTTTTACTCGAACAGGCAAACCTGACACCTGAATGAAGGGTGGAGTGCCTGCTATTGCTCTGGCTGCGGTGAAGTCTGACAAATACTTACATAGGCCCAAGTGCCAATACCAAATGCCAACCCAGAAATGAGAACGAGGTTGCCGTACTTGTCATGGAAATCAGGTTCAAGTTTGCGGTGAGCCTGTCTTGTCACAGTATGTTGAATGCCACGGGCTGGAATACAAAACCACCTCAGTTGGAAGGCCAACCAGGCCAATTAACAAGCAGCACATGTTATTATTACTCGGCTTTTGCTGCAGGGCACCCCTAGCTCTGAAGCTCAATTAACGGGCGGACCTGGTCACTGTGGGCTGGGGCTACCCTCCTCTGGCACTTTTGAACTGAGGCTGCCCGCTTTTTGTATTTTCCAAACTCGAAGCCGAGTTCAACATTTATATCAGACCTAAGGTTAGCTGATTACAACAGACTTCCTACTGGGACGGCCATATTCCCAATGTTTGTGCATGAACCCTTAACATACCCTAATTACGTAAAACCGTTTTTATTAAGTGTTTAAGTGGAAAATATCTTCTCTTCTGTGTTTCCTTGAAGAAAAGAAATTACTGCTTTCCGTAGGCAGCAATTACAGGAGGATGAACCGAAGTCCCCCTTCTAAACCTCAACCGGCACCCATTTGGAGTATGGAGTGCCTGATGAAGAGCAGGTGCCAGGGAAGGGAGGCGGGGTGCCCAGGCCCTCCTGAGCTGAGCTGAGCAGGCTAGGCAAACGCAGCCTACAATTTGCCCTGACTGCTCTGCACCTTTGTTGCGCCCTGCAGTGCTTTTGAACTGAATTGCGGTGGGAAGCAGCCTAGGAAGCCCAACGTGTGGAGGGTCTGAGGCCGAAGCACTGCAGAGCGTGACCCGAAGGCCCAGATCTGGGCACGTGCCATCTTTGACCTTGGACGGGATAGCGCTTCCCCCTTCAAGGCTGGTACGCGCTCTGGGGGTCCTCCTGGGCTCCAGCTCCTGCCTGAAGAGCAGAGCAGCCGGCCGGGAAGACCTGCGCACTACTCCACCTGGGGCGCCAGCGGCACCCTCCCCTAGACTGGGGGCCCCCAGACCCTCGCTCACGCCTAATCGCCTCGCAGCTTGACTGCTGCAACATGCTGCTCTTCGCGGGGCGGCCCTTGAAGACCACCTGGAAGCTTCCACTGTCCGGAATGCCTGTGACGGGCGCGCCGCGGCTCGGGGCCGGCTGTTACCGGCAAGGCCCTCCCGGCCCAGGGCCCGG